GGCAGGTGTGTGGACCAACACCACATCAGGAATGCCTGGTTTAGATTACGTGACTCCTCTTGAAAAAGCTTTAAAACTCTGTCGCAAAACAGAAAATGAAAATTGGAACAAAATGTTGTCGAGTTACAAGGGTAGATAGGACAGTGTCAAATCAACCAGTCTGTCTAGTAGAAAAATCATCTGGGTGCTGCTTTCCGTCTCTGGTTCATTCTGTGCCATAGATCAGGTACATTTTTTAAATGTTTTTTTAGACTTCTGTTGAAAACATTTTCTGAATTTGTTTTTGTGGAGCAAATTGTATCAAAACTATGCAGTTTTGCAGTATACATTATTATACAGTGCAACTAAAATTTTAGCAAACAGCCTTTTTTTAGGTTACCAGTCATCTGTTGGTGTCCAAAATTATGGACAGCCTGGATTAGTGCTTTTAGCATGCAGTTTTCTGCTGTAATGTTCAACTTTTAATAAATTCCCGGTCATTTCTGTTGGTACCACTAGATGGCGGTATTGTCTTACTGTACTTTAATAGTGGGAGATTTGACGCATTGTATGTTGTGATGGACACTTCAGGGAATTCCTTCTAGCTTTGCCTTTGTTTTGTCTGACTGAATCAAAATATGACAAATGTCATTAAAATGCATATGCTTTGGCATGAATTATACAAGATCATAGAGTTCTGTGATTTACCCTCCAACCAGGAGGTATGGCTGGGTAGCAAGATCAGATATAACTGGTGTTTCTGTTTTCCTTTCCATATGGGCAGGAATTAGTTTTTCTTAAGTTATTTCAAAGAAAAAAATGGATTAGTGCTTAGTCCATTATTAAATTAAATCTCAGAGCTGCAACTCCCATTCAAAAACAGCTTAGTGTTACAAGAGCTGTGTTTTGTGTTTGTTCTTCAAATGCTGTGATCTGTTTTAAGTTGACTCTGATTATTGATGGACTTAATTCATTGTGCATGTTAGGGCGTTTTAAAGTTTCTGCGTGTGTGGGAAGAGAAGTTGGCGTGGAATTAAAATTTCAAGTGTGAGCCCATTAGCTAGACTCGCACCATGCTAGGGGATTGAGGGCAACTGGCAGCCCTCAAGTGGATCAGATTGATACTTCCCGATGAGACAAGGTGAAGGCAATAAGTGCCCCAGAGGGCAATGGTGGTACCCCTGAACCGTATAAGTACAATCCCCTCAGGGCCATCTTACTGCAACTAAGGAAACGGCTGTATCTTTTTCCAACACATAACCAGTTGATAAGAGTGCCTCTCATCAAGACTCTTAGGATTGCACCTTTTCCATATTTCCTTTATTATTGGAGGTTCTTGTTCCTGGTAAAAGCTCCAGGCAAGAATGATAGCCTGGATGGGCTGCCAGTCCATCTCAGCCTGCACACGCACACCATGTCCAATGAGCCGCAAGCCAGAGCACCTAAAGAACACTCATTCGAACACAAGGAGAATTTCACTCAGAAGGCACTCAAGTAAAAATAAACCCAGGACCCCAAGAGCTAGACAACATGCCAATGTGATGGCCTCGGTTCACTATGTCGAGGTTCAATATATATCGTATAACTCTCTTGATGTTGTCTGTCCAATAGTATTGTGTGAAATACAGCCTTAGGGGTTGGGCTAGAGGGAGGGGAATGCTCTTTTCTCTTTATGATCAGTCAGCCTGGTGTGGTCACTGATTCATTGCTGTGCAATCTGCTCTGGGGGAAAGGCTTGTAGTGCAACTGGTGTAAGTAAAATATGCAGTCAGGTGTGTCACATATTAACCTGAAAGTCACAGCATTCTTTCTCATTTGCTTTGAACTGGAGATGCAGACAGACTTTCTTTTCTTGTTTCAGGGAATTGTAGAGCTATTGTGCATGCATGACCATATGTCACTTTTTTATGTAGATTGTCTGGTTCCAAAGGCAGAAACATGATACCTGTATTTAAGACAGATTTTCATCTGGTGAATTTACTGAACAAAGTGCACAAAGTTGGGCACTATATGAAGTTTGATTTGACCATTTTCTAAATGATTTTTGAAAAGTAGTTTTGGAACTGTATTGTTGTCTGAGTCTCATGAACCTAGAGAAAAGAGTTTCCTGTGCAACTTTACAAACAAAAACTTGTAAAGTCTGTAGAAAGAAGTGACAGGTGGTGAGACTAAGATTGCCTTAAGGAACAAATTTCTGTTGAGCTTTAGCTGTGCATTTTGTAAATGGTTAACTAGTCTGTCATCCATCATAAAAAAAAATTATAGTATACCCTGGTAATGGTTCTGCTCCATTTAGCAAAAAGGTGGATTTGTTCTTGGTGGCAAGGGGCTCTCAAACAAAAGGTTGTAGTGACCAGGATAACTGGCTGTACTTAATATGTACTGCGTGATATTATGATAGATCAATATGTAAAACTACCGTGCGTTATCTGTGTCAGTGCTTGATATAGCCATTGTGTTGCAACATACTGGACCTTTGTGGTGGTGTAAATATGGACGAATATTCAGGCCTTGAGACAGCTGTACTTGAAGACTTGGAAGACGCTGTACAGTACATTCAAAGGTCTTTATTTAATGTAGGTAGAACTGGATAATTGACATGTTGTAAAATTGTACAAGAATTTAGAGACTTGGTCAATCTAGTGTTTCAGCAGTTAAGGGAAACGTGCCTTGTGTTTATTCAAGGCTGTCCTCAATTTGTTTTTGTTATGTAAACTACATGATTCAGCTTGGTGATGTCTGAGGAAAATTCTAAGCTCGTACAGCAGCCATCTGCCAGCGGTGGCGTTTGACTGACAGGCCCTTTCATCTGCAAGACCTGCTCTTTCTTAATCTGTTACCTGAGCTGTGAAGCGTATTCAGCAAAAAACGTTTCACATGTTCACATACAAAATTCACTCGCACAAAACAATTGGATTCCCTGATATTGGTTAATGATATGACTCAGCCGTGTGTTTTTTTTTCAGAGAAATTATTTAAACAAGGGATAAATGGCAGTGTTATTTTGTTTCATCTATTGCTGTAGCTGCACAAGCTGCTGACAGATCTCCCAGATGATATGCTGGAGGACAGCAGGGATGTATCCTCCCCTGAGCTCAATTACTCTGGATGCAGTGCTGGGGACAATAACAGGTAAGGCACTGGAACTCTGGTTGTGAAGGTTTGCACATTCGGTGAAGGCTCCACAGCGATGCACAAGGGATTTGTTATCTCTCAAGCCTGCAGGTGCCTATGAAGTCTTCACTGGGAGCTAAGAGAGCCCGGAATGACTAATCATCAATTGCTTTCTGATTGAGAGAACATCCTTGAAAAGCTTGCGAACTTCTGCCTGGATCTTTCTTGTTTGAATTCCACTTATTATTTGCTTGTTTGGATTTCCTATCTTCTAAGTTTATGCTTCAAAAAAGTTGATGTGTTGTCCCTTCAAACTTGTGAACCACAATTGTAAACTTTTTAAGCTGAAGTTTTTTATTCTTGATTTAAGTTAAATTTTGCTCAGACGACATTGACAGAATAACAGCCCAGCGATTTACCGAGATGATGCACAGGTACGGCTGCCAAATGGTGAAATGTGGCGAGTTTGTGATTTGGCACTGTCGTCCTAATTAAATCAGACTTTGACGCAAAGGAATCTTGAGAAAAAAAAAAGTAAAATAAGCAGTTGATGCGTGTTGGAATTTGTACCTTTTCTCTGTGTTAGTTATCTTTCTTGGTGGAGAGATTGGCTGCAGGGACTTGCTTTCATTTTTATCACAGATCACAGCTATTATGTACTCCAAGATCACCGTCCACCTAAATTTGAGGAGATAACATAATTAGCTGTTAAATATTAGATACTGAAAGGATTATTTCAGTTCATAGGAGAAATCGAACATGTTTTCATTTGATCCCATAACTGTGGCTTCTTTTTTTTGACAAAGAATGTGAAATCAAAGATAAGTCTGATTTTCATAGGCCTCAGCAAGCTTGGAATCAGGCATCAGAGTGGAACAATCCCCAAGGAGTTGTGTCGGCAGAACAAGTGAGTACAGACTGCTGCGTCTGATGGTTTATCTGAACCCTTTATATAGTAGATTGCTGGTGTGTATTTTCGGTCCAGACTTGAAGCACTCTCACACAGGCAATGGTGTAGGTACAGTCTGATTTCTTCAAGATGGGCATAAGCTTGCAGGCCGGAAGGTGAAAGGGGTCATATTGTATCTGTAGTTTATTCATGATATTTTATTTCTCCTTATGAAACCAAAGCTCCATACACCCCCCCCCACTTCTTAAATGCAGGAAAAGGACTATTAATGCCTTTGATTTACTTAAACTGTGTTGCTGTAATTATTTAAATGTTTTTCAGTGTAGTATAATTTCTCACCAATTGTTACTAATCACTAAGTACTGTTTTCCAAGGAAGTTAAAGTTGAGAATAGATCGTATATGTGTGTATACATATGTTTGCCATATTTATTTGTGTACATCATGTTTTGTTCCAGTAGGTCCAATATAATAACAATAATATTTCATGACATATCTTTGCACCAAGAACTGGTGAAACACAGGTAAAACCTTTGGAAAAATTTTAAGGTGACATGTATACTTAACATATTTAAAAACACCCAAGAAGTCAGGCTACCAATTTCTTCTGGAAATGCATTGTACAGCCCTAGAAGCAGGGAGCTGTGTTAGTATGTGTAGGCTGTAAAGGATCGGGTCAAGGTGTATTCCGTGCTGAAAAGAGAAGTCACACCTGTCAGATCCCCAGTCGAAATAGTGCATCTTTTCTTTTCAGCGTGGAATAAACCTTTATGTAGAAGCAATATGACCAGTTCTGTTATCTACTGTTCTGTCTGGTCTTGTGTATGAGTGAACATTAGTGAGTACTGTAATACAAACATTAGATAGAGACAAATCAAGATCTTAGCAGCTGAAATATGAACATTTCTCATCTGTCTTTTGTTTTTTGAGGATTATGAGAGTGCGTACAGCGAAGACCCGTTCCATGGAGAGTTTGTGTATGGGCACAGCAGTGAACAGTTTGATGGCCATGTTCATGAGCTCCACGCACCCCACCCCCACGTGTGGAGTGAGCAGCGCGAGGAGGGGCATGAGTACTTGTACAGCCACGGGGGCTATTCTTACCCCAGCGTGGGCAACGAGGAGGCAGCGGGGAACCAGGAGGGCATCCCTCAAGATGGATATGAACAGGACCCCTACAGCCAAACCAATCCTTTTCATCCTCAGGGAGCATATTACCACTCCAAAGAGCTGAAGGAAGAGTTCCGTCAGGGAGAACACATTAAGGTATGAACAAGACTAGAATCAAGTTTTAGATGAAGCGAATTTGTATGTGTTTGAATGGGCAGTTTTCTCAGAGCAGCCAGCTTCCCTTTAGCAAAATATCTTCTATTGCTTTTTGTTTAGTTTTTTAGTGGGTTTTTAACCAATTTGAAAAAGAAATAATCTTTCTTTTTAAGTAAGAACAATGTTTAATTCGAATGTTAATTTTGCACACTTTTGAATTGCAGGAGAGTTTTAAGCCTGATGGATCAGGTGACCACCCTCCCAGTCAGTTCAAGGTCAAGTATAATCCCTACCGGCCAGCCACGCACCCAAACGCATTCGGCACAGAAACGGGCAGCACGGACGATCAGTACAGCCAGCTGCAGGCAGAGTTTCTGGAATCTGGTCAGAGTACGTTAAACACTATCACAGTACCAGTCGTAGTTATAATGTAACAGGTTAGAAGCTAACTTCTACCTGAAACTGTGTGGGTGCTGAAGAGTTGAGTTTTATTCAATCGCTTATGAAGGCTGTTTCAATCGAATGCACTGTAGCTTATTATGCAATTTTGGCGATTTGTATAAATGTTGTAACAAACTATAATTGTGTAGTGGTTGCAATGCATTCTTTTCAGTGTAACAATTTACCATAACAGTTTCATCTATAAACGAAAAAGATTAGCTCTTTTTCATGTGTATCAATTTGGAAGCTTTTGACTTCTCTGTTGTTTTATATGCCTGAAGACTAGTGCTGCTCTGCATCAAAACTGTGTTTTGTAGAATTTGCTGTCAAATGCAGGAATATAATGGTGTGGAATTGTTCTAATTTGTGTGTGTAGATTCAACAGAACAACAAAAAATTGAACAACTGCAGATTTTTGATAAAGCCCGACTGAGACAGATCAAAAATCTTGAGGAACAGCTGGAAGACTACAGCCGGGAGATGAGATATCTTAATCACCAGCTTGCTATTGTTAGAGGTGAGTTTCACCTCTCTGTTGGGTCTGTTAAATTCTCTTCACTCGTGTTTTATGCAGTAAGGTGGATTAATATGGAGTAAAATAAAAAGTGTCTTACCAGAGACAACCCAAGCAGCTGCAGATTTTGAGTTTTGTTGTACTGACACAACTGTACTTGTTAAGCTTGACATTGTGCTTGTTTGTTTTCCCACCAGATGAAAAGGAAGGTTTGGCACTAAGTCTGCAGGAATCTGGAAAAGTGATTAAAGATGGGAAAGAACGGGAGATACAGCTGGAGGGCCAGATTAAAGCTTTGGACCTGAAGGTTCAGGCATTGCTTGCAAATGAGGAGGAGGTTAGCAGTCTTTAAAAATACCCAAGTCCCAGTTGTTAATACAGATTTGTGAACCATCTTTCTTCCAGATGTGTATCTTAATGCGTTACCATCATTTATACAGTAGCCTCATGTTCTTGTTTTTAAGCATGTGCTCAAACATTTTATAGCTGGTACAGAAATCGGTAATTAAGAATTGAGAGTGTAGGCATGACAGAACCACTAGCTTTGTGGATTACTTCTCACGACAGTCAAATGTTGGGCATGGCAGAGGCGTTTCTGTGATGAACGCACTAGAAATGACCTGAACAGCTTTCGTCGATGTCGATTGTGTTGACTCTCGGGGTCTATTTTCAGAATGTGAAGAAACTGAAGGTTGCAGAAGCAGCTGTGGACAGCATGCAGCAGCAGATGGCCGAGCTTTGCCGTTCAGACACCCTGACTCGGGCGCGAGAAGAACACAACCGAGTCCTGGCAGCTCTCAGGGAGAAGCACGACGAGAAAGTGCTGGCTCTCCAGCAAACACTCGATGCCCAGAACCAAGCCCTGGAAGAGCAGGTCAGGGGACGCGCATTCCTTTCGAATGACAGTTTTCCAGGCCAAACATGCTGCAGCATTAGAACTCAGCATTCTTCTGAGATACAGCAAGGAGTATTTTTTAGAAGAGCGTTTCATTTTATTTTGTAAGATGTGAAGCAGTCAACTTTTTGTGCTAGTGGCGGAGAATATTGGCGACAGCATTTGCGCATGTTGCTTACAGTATATCTGAATCTTAATTTTGAGAATGACCTGCGATGACACTGTTATCCATTTACTGTCATTAGAAGGACATTTGCCAGAAGCTTCAGGATCATGTGAAGCGACTGGAGCGACAGCAAGAGGAGGACAGAGTAGAGAAGGCAGAAGTGATCAACAGACTGACAAAAAGCCTAGAAGAAAGTCAACAGCAGTGCGCTAATCTGCTCCAGACAGGTGAGCATCATTGATGAGTCACGATTACCCCAGGACCATCACTGGATAGTGATGCTTATTTTCCGTTTCGAGCACCCCACTTTTTTTTCTCCCAAGCGTTAATTCCCTCTGTGGCATGATTTTACCTCATGATTGCCTTCTGTTGCTTTAGCACTCACACCCAGGGAACAACCCTCACAAAGCCGAAAGCTCAGGGTGCAGATGAGTGGAAGGCATGCATTCCCCATGAGCACGGTGTGGAGGGGTAAAGCTCATGGAGAGCCTAGGCATTCCTGACATATACATACTTTTGGGAAAACATAGGTTTTCCCACCAGGGTGTTGTCGAGCAATTATCAGAAATCCTTGAAATGCCAGTTACTCAGAGCAACCGGCTACTAACAGTAAATGCAAGATGGTCCATATGGCTTCTTCTCCTGTGTTGCTTTTATTATGTTCTTATATAGCCATTGTTCCTATGAGAGTGGATCAGTGTATGGCAAATCTTCAGAACTGTTGGGTAATTTCTTATTTTATAATTTATCCCCCTAGGAACTATACAAGAGATCAACCAGCTACGAATCCAGTTACAGCAAGCACAGTCGGTGAAGAATATCAGCGACAACATGAACAGATCTCTGCAGGTTAATGTGCTTTTAATATGTGCTTTCTATGAGTGCCCCTTGCTGTTGTGAAGTAATACAGAGATATTAAAGAGTGTTGTGTTTGAAGATGTTCTCTGCATCAGTTTCTTACCAATTTTATTTTTTTTTTATGAAGGAGGAAGTCAGCGACTTGAAGGAACAGATTACACTGTATGAGTCGGCAGCTAAATTTGGGATCATTGCATTGGATCCCAGTGGTGAGCTGGAGAGCCAGTTGTCCGATTCCTATGTGGAACTGGGGATTAAGACAGTTAACTGGAAAAACAGTAAATTTCACAGGTAAAGGTCAAGTGATTTTCTTGGTTCAGATGGTGTTTAATAATCATCCACAGAATTTCTGTTTTATTAAGTTACCTAAGAATATTTTATTTATGTTGTGCAAATATATATATTTTCCATCATTGTAGTAAGGAAAGTGTTCGGGCATTCTAGCAGTTCTTCTCTATAGTGTCCACTTGTGTCTTCTGTTTCCTATTTAAGTGATGAACCCCACAGTGAAGGCCCACAGTGTGGTTAGATGACCATGACTGGAGTTATGCCTGCCAAGTCGAACGGGTCTGCAACCTGCAATCCAAAAGATAGAGAGGGTTCCATCATTATTCGCAAACAGTTTTGTTTTGAGAGATTTTAAATGTACATTTACCTTGAAGTTGGGATATGTTTTTTACCAGTTCCCTTCCTCTGAAGAACAGAGTTATAAGATAAAGTGATCAGAATAGAAAATGTGAAAAGCAGAGGTAAAATATCTATTCGTTTATTTAGTTTAATATTTGAGTTGAGCGACAGTGGTACAGTGGTTAGTGTGGATGGATGGAAATTGCAGAAATTACTCTTTTCCCTTTGTGATGTATCTGGACCTTGCCTTGGGTAATTGACGTGGTAGTTGCTCTGTTGTTTGGAGGTTGCTGGAGGTGGAGTTTCATTTCAGGTGGCACAGAGCGAATTTGCTTGTGTGGAAGAAACTGAAACAGGGTTCAAATGGACTGGCTTAGAGGAACAGAGTTGTCCAGTGCCATCTGTAATTCAAATTGTGCACCGGTCATCTTTGCAATTAAAATACCGTCCAGTATCTACTTGTTACTTTATGATGGTGTCCTGTAGCAGACATGATTACACTTGTCTCTAGAATAGAGAGGGGCCATCCCAGTCCTGTTTTTCAAAGAAGCAGCACCTGAAGACCTGGAGGAAGCTGGTAGGTGGTCCCATTACAGCTGTAATGACCTGTTAAGAGCTGGGTTGACAAAATCTGCTTCAGTCCAGGACCAGTCTGACCCATTCCTGTCCTAGAACCACAACAGAAAGTAGCTGCACAGTTGTTACTCCTACAATGGGTGGAGAACTATTACTAAGCCTTGCCTTTTCCTTGAAGGTAGCCGTTAAATTGTCATTTGTTTTTACACCAGTGCTTTGTACAGGGGGTTGGTTGTTGCAGTTTTTCTGCTGCACCAGTTGCGTTATTTGTAGTAAATGAGGTGGAGTTGGAGAATATTGAGGGGCAAAGCTGTTATATATGTGGGTTGATTTAAAATCTAAATCATGGTTAAGCACTTCAGTGTTTCAGCAGACATAAATGTCAGCTAGTGCATGTTAGATCTGAAAATGAATTGGCTAATGGTACTCAATTGCAGTTAGTGTAGGTGAGGATTTTGAATATGTAAATGAGGTCATGTACTCTTTTCTTGTTCAAGACTCAAGAGCTTATCCTTTTGGCCTATTAATGTGGGACAAGCCAAGAAAAGTTTCCTGTTATCTTCTCTGGATTAATTCCAGAGCAGCCCTGCTGTATCTTTTTTTAATTGTGATCAAAATTGTGCGCGATACTTGAGATACGAGATATTACATGCACATTATACAATTTCAGCGTTAACAACCTTTACTCTTATACTCTTAACTATATACCTTAACATTTTTATTGCTTCCTCACATTGTCTATATGTAAATGATTCGGTAACGTAAATGCTAGAACATTTGTCATAACAAGCTTCTTTAAGCTCATTGTTTCCCATTTTATATTTATCATTTGTTTTTGTAACTTGCATGCAGTAGTCTGCTCACTTGCTCTACTCTCTCATTTAATTTCCAGCACCTTCATTGCTGCTGGAAAGGATAAGAATATGTCGAAGGATGACATGATTGTGGAGCTGAAGACTGAGCTGGAGCGCTTCCTTGGCAGTTTGAAAGTCAAGAGGCGAAGGATTAGCCAGTTACAGGACGAGCTGAAGCAGTCGCAGTCACAAGTGCAAGAGCTAAAAGCCCACCTGGAGAAAGCAGAGAGGGAAGTGAAGGATTCAAAGGTGAGGAGCAATGGCACTGGAGTCTATTAAATGGAAATTGAGTTCAGACAGAAAGGACACTTGTATTTGTTTTGTTTTTCCCTTGCAGGTTAGGGCAAATAACTTGGAAAAATGTTTGGAAATCTCAAGTGCTCCAACTTCTGGACAGGAGGGAGTGGAGAAATTTCAGAAGGAATGCAGGTGCCTTCAGGAGCAGCTGGAAGTAAGGATTGCTTTAGGGATTTATAAGGAGAGAAGAGGCACCATGAATTACTTCTCCAAATAGGACTCAGTTCTTGGTTGTAATATGCTTTTGGTAAAATTATCTTATTTTGTAAGGTCATTGCATTGCTGTTTGCATGATGAATTTTGTTTTTAATTTAGATTATTTGTTTAAATATTTTCCTCATCCTTTTAAGGACATGAGGAGGAAATGGCCATTATCTAAGGTGGTAGTGTTCTATAGGACTTGGAAGATTATCTGCTGATGCTTTGCAAATTTTTAAAAGTGGTGACAACTGCAAATTATACCTGTATCTTGTTGTTCTGGAAGATGTGCTACACATGATCTTTCTGTTATTTATTTTCACCTTTCTAGAAACTTGAAAAACAGAATAAGGAGTTGAAATCTGCAAATCTAGAACTCTGCACTGAAATGAGAAACATGATTCAAGATTTTGACCGGGAAAAGCAGGCTCTTGAGAGGTAACTACATGTTTGTACCTGAAATTAAAGTGTGCATGAAAAGTCTTCATCACTGCTTGCTTGTGTAACCTAATACCTGACCTATCAAAATCACTGCTTGTGAACACAACTCTTCAGTGCTTCAGATTCCTGTTTTCATCACTCTCTCCTTTCAGTCTGATTCAGCTAAATATTCAAAAACATTGTACACACTGATACACTGATTAACTGATAGAGTATCAGTTAATAACTGAAATGTACATTTTTCAGTTCGTGACGCTGTATCATACAAAGGTTATCTGTTCATGTTTCTGTCTATTTGCCATATTTTTTTAAATTTTAAGACATGACAAAACCCACCAGCAGCACCGGGATGATTTAGTGGCTCACTTACGTACAGAATTATCACGGGAGCACACGATTGAAATGGAGAAACTGACCAGTGTTTACGAAGACAAGATCCATGTTTTACAGTAAGTGCTGTCTTTTTTTCCCCTCTGTGAAAAAAAATGTTCAGACTCTCTGAAAATAGAACCAACACATAATGCAAAATTTAAATATTCATATTTATATTTTGCAGCTGCTGTGTTGCAAGCGATCATTTATAGCAACAAAAAAATTGGGAATGTTTTAACACAAAGTTTGTATTTTCTTGTGCACGATGTGGTGAAAACACCAAGCAGCTTTATGAATTGTAGTGCTGGAACCTTTGTACTATTTTGTCTGTAGGACACAGCTATCAGACATCAACAAGGAGATGATTGGAGTACAGGAATGTTATATCACTCTTTGTAAAGAAAAGGACACTTTGGAACAAGATATGAGATGCAAAATGGAAAAGGAAAGAAAATTGAAAGAGGATGAGGTATCATGTTTTTATACTTTTTAAAGATTAGATTTGATTGAAATGTAAATGTTATTTTTTGTTAATGTAATTGATCAAATCAACGAAACATACCGCATTTCGCTTTGGGGGGCTTATTCTCAGTTACGGAAGCAGCTGCGTGAGGAGAAGGAGCAGGCCCTGGGAGAGCTGGAGCGTGAGCTGGGGGTTCAGCATCGTCTGTCTCTGGCCACCTCAAAGGCCCTCTGGGTGAGAGAGAAGGAAGCCGACGTCAAGCAGCAGGTCAACACTCAGCTGGCACTGGCCAGAATGACCTGGCAGGAGGAGCAGCACAAGGTGTTTTTTTCATCTTGGGATGTTTAAATCAGGGCTTTAGTCCTTTATAGCACCTCCCTTAAACCCTTTTACATCTGTTTTGTACTCCGTGTTACTGTCCTTAGTGGTTGATCCACAAAGGAACCTCCAAATTCAAATGTACGGCGCAATATTTAGTGTTTCTGAAGTACCCAGTACAGGATCTGAAAGGGAGTTAAATGCCTGCTGTTGCCTTTGAATTAGCTGTTAGCTACGCAGGTTCGTTACCTCCCTGATTTCTGCGCAGGTGAGGGAGGAAGCCGTTCAGGAAGCTGTGGAGAGGGTGGAGAAGGAGTGGGCCCGGCGGCTGGAGCAGTCTCTGGAGAAGGCTCGGCCCGAGACCGAGTCACACGAGCGGCACTGTCAGACCGAGCCCTGGGAGAGCGAGGGCCTTACCGGAAAGGAGCTGGACTCGCGGCTGGCAGCACTGAGGCTGCAGTTACAGCAGGAGGCAGAAGAAGAGCGAGTCAGGGCCGTCGCGGATGCCATTCGAGAGACCCAGAGCAATTTGGAAACGAAACACCGGGAAAAAGTTGCTGAACAGGTAGGGAACTTCCCACTCAGGATTCGAAAATCTTCAGAAATTATCATATTTTCATTGAATGACATTTGAATAATGCCAAAGCAGGTCCCAAATTTCCAGTTTTAATTAAGCATTGAAAATTTGATTGTTTTTTGCCTTTTGGTTTGTGTCAGGCAGCCACATAAGTACACAAAAGTTTCACTGTTGTAATATTGTAAAAATCAAATGCTAGGCAACCTTAATCCAAATCATGAAAATTCTTCTTGTTTTCAAACTTTCAAATGTTAAATGTTAAACTCTTCTCTACAAGGAGGAGGAGATGAGGATGAACTTGTGACTGACTGGTCTGCTTCCAACAGGTAGAAAGTGCTGTATCCAGTGCTTACAGTCGCTGGCTTCAGCAGTTACACACCCTTCCAGAGTACAAAACCAGCCTTCAAGCAGAAAAAGAAGAGTGGGAGAGACAACGGGACCAGGAAGTCGCAAATCAGGTAAATAAAGCACAGGAATTATAGCAGGCGTCATTTGGGTAAAATGCTAATTGGCAACTTCGCAGCAACATAAGCTGGTTGTGTTCTTTGGCAAAAACATACAGATGTTACATACTGTCTGTGAATTCTGTGAGATAAACACTTATGGAAAAGTTCCATAAAGCTGAAGACAAACAGGATACGTTTATATTGCACTTAGTTTATTTTGCTACTACCAGAATTTGTTCTAATTAAAATGTCCTTCTTCAGTTTAATGTCGTATACTTTATCTTTTCAGATATCGGCTGTGGTCAGGGCTGCTGAGGAAAGGTGGGAGAAGAATCACCTTAAGGAGATGGAGAAACTAGAAGCGAGTTCAAGGAGCGCGGAGCTCCAGGAGAAGGTGCTGTCCCTCCAGAGACAGCTGGAGCACCGGAAGGAGGAGGAAGCGGCGCTGGTCAAGGCTGAGCTGGCCAGGGCCCGCGCAGAGTGGAACAGGGAGAAACAGGAGGAGATCAGCCGAATCCAGGAGCGCAACGAAAAAGATTATCGGTCCTTTCTGGACGAGCACAGGAATAAGTTAAACGAAGCCATCAAATCCGCCAAGGAGGATTCTGAAAGGCACAAGAATGAACTGCTTCTGCAAAAGGAGGCAGAGTTTCAGCTGCGCCTCGAGGGGAAGGAGAAGGAATGGGCAGCGCAGCAGGAGGAGAAGTGCCGAGTTGTCAGACAGCAATGTGAAGATGACATGTTGGTTGAAACACAGGCCTTGCTTGGGGAAATCCAGGAGCTTCTCATTCAAAGCCCGGATAAGCTGCTGGACATCCCGGAGACCCGGTTCAATAATCCAAAGGAAACCCAGCAGTATTTTATTGGTAAATTAAGAGCCTGTCTCCAGGCTGCATGCCAAGGCCTTGTTTCCAAAGCAATCAATGAAGCCAGAAACCGTTGGGAAAAGGTAAAGGTTTTATATTTTGTACAATTTCTGTATTATTAATTCCAAGCCTTGTTGACGGTAGTGATTTGTGTGTGTTCTGTAGTTGAAAATAACGAAATACTGATAGATACAGATGCAATGATTTCTCTGATAGTTCCATGTTTTCATCCTTTAATTTGTTTTTTAGTCTCTAAAGTGGTCTATCTCAACTCCATTGCAAATATTAGCTAAAGATGTCATATGCAGTCACCCTCTCCTTTCCCATCGTGCTTCAAGTTTGTGTCCTCTCTTCCTAGAGCAATGAAGAAAAACTGTGCCGTGCTTTGAAGGAAGCAGAGGATCGCCATAAGCAAGAAATAAAACAGCTGAGAAATCAGTGCAACGGTACCAACAGTTAATACTCCCTTATGGTTCTCTCACACTGCTGTAGAGTAAATGTGTGGAGATTATATACCCTCTTACATTCTGAGTAAAATCAAAAGAATGTAGCATTTGTTTTTTTAAATCAATAGTCTTTGAATTGGCTGCATTATTAATTCACAAATTAAGATCTATTATTAATGGAATCCTATCATAGTTTGTTAAGGACAGCTTAATCTAAATCCAGTCAACTAGTTTTTATCAGATGTCCAGTAGCAATAAATACAGGTTATCTGTTTAGTATTGATGATTGCTTCACACTAGCAGAAATCCTCAATAGCTTCCCCTCAACTATACCTGTTATATGGGAAATGTATAATTTGAAGGGAGTAGCTTCAATAAAGGATTTACAGTGACCTGTAAAAAGCAAGTTACAGTAAAAATGTTTGTGACGGGTAAATACAAGGAAATGTTGTTCAATAGTGAGTGAACAATAATTAATGTCTAATGACGTTTTGCACACTGAAGTTATTAATCTTTCTTCTCTCATTTCATTTTTAAATTAAAACCAAAGCAGGTCTGCCATATCTATAAGGAATTCTGCCTATATTACAGTATGGCAGAGTATTAAATGATCATATAAATATTAGATGCATACATTTATAATGTAGTTGATGTATTTTCTATCCCAAGAAAAATGTTCAACTTAATGAGAGTCATAGAGTACAAACCTTAAATATGCATGATTTCATAAAGCATGTAGAAGTTGTTCATCACTGAGAGATCTCCAGCACATCTAAAATTATGAGCAGTCTTACAATTCCAGAATTTTGAAAGCAAACTTTATCATTTTTTTCTGCTATAGATTGCAGTGTGCAGCAAAAGTTTAATAACGGTGCCTTTATGCTTTAAGTGTATTTTATGAGTTTCCATATTGGATCCTCTTTCCCCTCTAATGCTATTTTTTTTTCCTTCTGGCATAAATGAATTTAATATAATGTAGGGAATGCTCTTCTGAAGCACAGCCTAAAGTGCAGATAAAGGTGATGATCAGTTTAAAGGGTCATTTTTATATTTTTATGTTGAACTTTACAGAGGACAGTTTTTCTAACAAAGAAACATCATGGACCACTGTTTAGATCTGGCTCTGAACCTAAAAGGTATTCATGCACAGAAAAGGATGCAAAAAAACATTTAATTTTGTTTCTGTTCATTAGAATACAAAATTAAACCATGATACATACAGTACTTGACAGACTCTTTATCATTAGTAAATGGTGTATAGCATTATTTTGTTTAGCTGGAAAATTAAAATTTATAGATATCAATGTTTATCTTGTTAAAGTTGTTAAACTTCATTAATTAGGTCCTTGCATGTTGTCTCAATTGCTGTTGAGAGTTCCTTGAATTTTGACTCCTCAAATACGTTTTAAGCTGCTTGAATATCCATTATACATATAAAAATGTTTACCAAATCTCGTAAATTATACAATTACCTGTACATTTAAAATGTATTTTAATGTACCTTTCAGTTTCACAGCCAGGAACAAAGAGTGACCTGTGCTGTAATAAGTACTGTGCTGAAAAGTTTGAGAAATCCCAGAGACAGTGTCAGGAGCTGCAGAGACACCTGGAAAAAGCCTGTCGTCAGCTCCAGCAGACTGTGAGAGAGAATAAAGCTAACATGCAGCAGCTCAGAGGTATTCATCTGCTTCATTAGTCTCTGTGCACTCTTTTGTTCACATGATCAAAGTTCATGATTTGGCTTGTGTAAGGAGTGGTGCAGTCACGGTCCTGGGTTCAAATCTGGCTGTGGATGTGTGGAGTTTGCATGTTCCCCCTGTGTTCATGTGGGTTTTCTCCATTTACTCGGATTTCCTGTCCCAGTCCAAGGACATGCTGTCTGGGTTAGTGCTCTAAATTGTTCCATGTGCGTTTGTCTACGCCCTGTGATAGAAGATGCCGTCCAGGCTTGTTCCCTGAGCTCTGGGTTTAGGCCCTTGCTCACAGTGACCTTATAAGAATATAGTAGTTCAGGTGGGTAGCTGCGTCAGTATGCGTAGGCTGCAAAGGAACAAGTAATAGGAAATGAAACTTCCAATGAATGGAGAAAATTTAAAAGAATTTAAAAGATTAGAGTGGTCTAATCTCTCCGTCTGTGTTCTCAAAGACGGTTTTCCGAACTCGTACATCAGAAAGACCACCGAAACTAAAATTATTCTGCAGCTAGGATCACACATTCTCCCTTCCCTTAACGACAGACTACTTTCTTTTAAATTTTCTCCATTCATTGGAAGTTTCATTTCACACTTCTTCACACCTCTTGATTGGCCTCTCTTTCTGTCCCCTGCTCCCGCCTCTCACTCCCCCTCCCTCCCAACCTTTGTTCTCCCGCTACTTTACCTTTGCCTACTGCCCTGTCTCTCTCACACCTGAAGAAGGCTCCACGGCCAAAACGTTGTGTTCTCTTTCTTCTTTTTTTCAGCATGGAATAAACCTATTACTTGTTCCTTATAAAAATATGATGAGTTCTCAAATGGATGCGTGGAAGCAGTAAAATAAGGCTTGTATTTCAGATAATAAGTAAGCAACAAGTGTGAGTGTGTATGCATGCATATCTAAACATA